GTCTGTGGGGTGCAGGGGTGGGGGGGGGACAGGTCTCTGGGTAGCAATATGGGGTTACAAGGGGCTGCAAATCGGGGTGCAGGCATCCCCCTTGTGCTGTGCTGGAAGGGGAACCCTCCTGCCCACCCCCCCGTGCATCCAGTGGTACGAAACGAGTGGGGGGGGGACAAAACCCCCCCTCTCCCTTCCAGCCTCCTGTCGCAGGGCGATGCAGGCAGCCTGGCTGCTCCTGCTGGCCCTGGGGCTACCAGGCTCCCCCCGTGGCTACCGGTGCCCGGGGGGTGCTCCCCGGGTGCTGCCCCCCACCAGCATCTGTAACGAGACGTTGGTGGGGGGCGGGAGGGCACGGGCACCCGACGTGGCCGTGTTGGTGGCTGTGGGGGGGTGGCTCGGTGCCCTCCTGCTCTACGTGGCCCTTTGCCCAGAGAGGTGGTGGGGTCTCCTTCTCTGGAGACATTCAAACCCCCCCTGGATGAATCCAACCTGCTCTGGGTGGGACCTGCTCTGGGAAGGGGTTGGAGGAGATGATCTCCAGAGGTCCCTTCCCACCCCATGTCATTCTGTGAAAGGCTGAGAGAGCTGGGACTCTTCAGCCTGGAGAAGAGAAGGCTGAGGGGAGACCTTAGTGGTGCTTCCAAGGATCTAAAGGGTGGGTTGAAGGAGGATGGAGCCGGACTCTTTCCAGTGGTTCCCAGTGACAGGACGAGGGGCAATGGGCACAAGCTGGACCATGGGAAGTTCCACTCCAATGTGAGGAAGAACTTGTTTGGGGTGAGGGTGGCAGAGCCCTGGCAGAGGCTGCCCAGGGAGGGTGTGGAGTCCCCTTCTCTGGAGATCTTCAAGCCCCTCCTGGATGCTCCTGAGTGATGTGCTCTGGGCAACCCTGCTTTGGCCAGGGAGTTGGACCGGATGATCTCTAGAAGGTCCCTTCCAACTCTGTCAGATCTATGAATCCCTACACCTTTTCTCCCCCAAGATGGGACAGTTTTTTCACCCCCCCTTTTCTCCCCCCCCACCTCCAGGCTTCCTCTCCCCGAGCCGTGGCGCGGGCTGCGGGACGAGGCGCTCTCGGAGCTCAGCGGAATCCCCGGCTGCGTCTTCGTACACGCCAGCGGCTTCATCGGGGGCAACCGCACGCGGGAGGGGGCCTTGGAGATGGCCCGCAGGACACTGGCCCAGCGGCAAGCGGGGGGAGCGCAGAGCGGGTGAGCCCCCCCACAACCACCACCCTCCCCCTGCAAGGTGGTCACCCCCAAAAGGGAGCGTGGGGGGTTCCAGGGACAGCTACTGGGGGGTGGCTGAGACCGTCCCCGCTCAGCTCATGTAACAGGACGCTATCATGGAGTTGTCTGTCCATCTTGGGGGGGGTCCAGGCTCCTCCCCGGGGGAGTCACTGGTCCCAGTCCCGCCATTGGACTGGTGTGAGCAAAACAACACCCCCAAATCAAGAGACTTTTTGGATCCGTTTCTCTCACGATTGTCCCCATTTCTGTTTTGTATTGGGTTGCCAACACCAGTAAAAACCAGTGTGTTCCCAGTGTATTCCCTGCTCAGGCAACTGGGGGTGGGGTGGG